AAAAATTAAGGGATCTGAGGAACCTCTGGGCCTGGAGCAGCTCCTGCTCTTGCCCTTCGTGGTTAACCCTCTGGTTATTGGGTTACATCTTCCATGAACCCTCCGTGGATCACCAGGAATCCTTGGACGATCTCACATCTCCTGGATGCGAGCTCTGTGTTCTCCCAGGAAACTCCAGGACACCGGGAGCTGCCCTAAACACACCCCAGGATGTTCCAGGAGCACGGGAAGTGCAGTTCCCAGCAATCCCATCTTTCCCAGGGAACGTCGGCACCTCGGCGTCGAAACCCTTTGCACTCTCTGCCTTTCCTTTGTGTCCCTGCCACGGCAGCTTCCCCCAGAGAGGCAAGCAGGGCTTGGAGCTGTGTCCCTGCCCAGGGGAAGGAATGAGCTGTCCCTGCCCGGGCAGGGCTCGGAGCTCTCCGTGCCCTCGGTGCTCCGCAGCAGGAGCACTGAACGGTGAAGCAGGGCTGGCTGTAATGTGTTATGACACAGATCAGCTGTTGTTTTCCAGTCTCAAAGGAAACCTTGTGGAATCTCATGCCTTTGACTGGATTAAATTAGCTGCAAATGTTGTCCTTTAAACGCAAACTCAAGGCCTCGCGCTGGAAAAAAACGAGGATGGCGGAGCCGGCGAAATCGCTTTCAAGCCATTGTTTCTTTGGAGCTGTGGTTTACCTTTGGTTCCCTAACAAAGTAAATTAATAAATGAAGGGGTAGCAGAGTTGTTTCTATAGCAATCCCCATGGAAACATCAAAAATGCCACAAACACTCATCCTCAGCCTCCAGCTCCCAGGAGAGCACAGCTCAGGGTAAAACACAGCCATGGCTCCTGGATTCAGCCCAATTCCTGGTGCCCTTTCCCTTCAGCAGCTTGGATAGCCACAAATCCCAAAATTTAAACTTTTCCCAGCAAACCTAGTGACATTCCTCTGGGAAGTGTCCCTGGGAGGAGCTGGAGCTGCTCATCCCTTCAATCAGCCACAGGACAGAATAAAGAGGCAGTGCTGAGAGACTCGTGGTGGGTTAAACCCTGGGCCTTTCCCTTTTCCCTTGCTTTACAACTTCAGTGAGGTGCTCCCACGCCTCTGATCCTGGCACTGCTGGCTGGGAGGGTGGGCAGAGCCTGGCTGGGACATCCCTGGATCCCCAAGGTGGGGATAGACACCCTTGGAGAACCTTGGAGACCATGGGAGGTGTCCCACGGCAGGGCTGCGGTGGGAGAGCAGAAGGAGCGGAGCACGGAGCAGGGGTGGCCTCTGGAGAGCAGCCACATTCCAGGGCCCGGCATCCATCCGGGCTGGATTTGGCTCCGGGTCAGGGCTGACAATTAGGCAGTACAGTTAATATTTTTACAGCTGTTTTATTAATAACACATCCAGAGCGAGCAGCCAGGATTTGTTGGAGACACCTCAGGAAAACGAATGATGTAAATAACAGATGGATGCAGAACAACCTTACAAACAGGCACCGAGATATTCCCATCTTGTTTAGGGAGAGGCTAAATAGACAGATTGGAGATAAACAAGGCAAGGGAGGAGAGAATCCACAGGTAGGTGCCGCTCCGCCGTGAGGAGCCTCGCCCGGAATAGCAGCGGAGGCTGGGAAAAAGAAAAACGAGGCAGGAGTTCCAAAAAGCAAAAGTGTGATAAAATGTCAGCCTAACACGCCTCGCTTGGGAACACACCGTTCTCCCCGGGGAGAGGAGAGCCTTGGGAGAGGCGCTTCCTCCAGGGCAGGAACGCAAACACGAGGGCCTTTCGCAGCCCTGCCGCCCAAACGGGGACGCCGTGGAAGTTCTGGAAGTTATCCCTCCTGCTTCGTGGTGGAAGTTCTGGAAGTTATCCCGCCTGCTTTGTGTGGAAGGAAGTTCTGGAAGTTATCCCGCCTGCTTTGTGTGGAAGGAAGTTCTGGAAGTTATCCCGCCTGCTTTGTGTGGAAGGAAGTTCTGGAAGTTATCCCGCCTGCTTTGTGTGGAAGGAAGTTCTGGAAGTTATCCCGCCTGCTTTGTGTGGAAGGAAGTTCTGGAAGTTATCCCGCCTGCTTTGTGTGGAAGGAAGTTCTGGAAGTTATCCCGCCTGCTTTGTGTGGAAGGAAGTTCTGGAAGTTATCCCGCCTGCTTTGTGTGGAAGGAAGTTCTGGAAGTTATCCCGCCTGCTTTGTGTGGAAGGAAGTTCTGGAAGTTATCCCGCCTGCTTCGTGGTGGAAGTTCTGGAAGTTATCCGGCCTGCTTCGTGGTGGAAGTTCTGGAAGTTATCCCGCCTGCTTTGTGTGGTGGAAGTTCTGGAAGTTATCCCACCTGCTTTGTGTGGAAGTTCTGGAAGTTATCCTGCCTGCTTTGTGTGGAAGTTCTGGATGCAGGGAGAATTCTCCTTGGAAAAGGTGGTCGGGCACCGGCACAGCTGGAATTCCCTTTCCTGGAGGGATTTAACTGCCCTGTGCTCGAGGCAGTGGTGGCCTGTGCTGTTCCGACCTCAGTTCCTGTGATTCCAAAGTATTCCAGGAGAACCTTCTGGAACGAAACCACATTTTGTACGCTTCCAGCTGCAGGCACTTCCCAAACTTCCCGAGCTGGATCCCGGGACAGTCAGGAATTCCGATGGAGGCGCTTCAGGGAGACAAAGCGTGAGGAGCTCAGTTTGCCGAGCTCTACAGTACAGACCCGTTAACACATAAATTTAACAATTATTATTGTGTTGCCCTTTTCCAGGAAAGGGTAAAGGAGATTTGTAGGAGCACTTAACGCGTGTAAATCCGCACCTCTTTAAGGCAAAGCAAGGCGCTAAATGGGGCCGTAAATATCCCGATGTTCTGTCCTTTTGGAAATCCTACCCCTCCTCTCGCTGCAATTAAAGCCGGGCCTTGTTCTAACACAGCCCCGGGGAAGCAGGAGTTGCAAAACCTCCAAACAGAGACAGGAGCTTTCCCAAAAAAAAAAAAAAGAGGGATCAGCGCTTTATCCTCGTGCAAGAGCTGAAATTCACCTGCGGCTCCTCTTTCTTCTTCCCAAGGCTTGGGCAGCCAGGGTGATCCTGAGAATCCCAGCACCTTTCCTCTGGAGATCCTGAGAATCCCAGCACCTTTCCCCTGGAGATCCTGGGAATCCCATCAGGTTTCCAGGTGGAAATCCTGAGAATCCCAGCACCTTTCCCCTGGAGATCCTGAGAATCCCAGCACCTTTCCTCTGGAGATCCTGAGCATCCCAGCACCTTTCCCCTGGAGATCCTGGGAATCCCAGCAGGTTTCCAGGCTGGAAATCCTGAGAATCCCAGGAGGTTTCCAGGCTGGAAATCCTGAGAATCCCAGCAGGTTTCCAGGCTGGAGATCCTGAGAATCCCAGGAGGTTTCCAGGCTGGA